TGGACTCCAAACCCGAAGCCCCAAACCTAAACACGAGCACCTAAGCCCTAATTTAGGGGCCTAAATTAATTACCTGTATTGTTTTTTTTTTTTGGGTTTAGGGTTTAGGGTTTAGGGTTTAGGGTTTAGGGTTTAGGGTTTAGGGTTTAGGGTTTAGGGTTTAGGTTTTAGGGTTTAGGGTTTTTTTTGGGGGGCTCCTTATTATAAGTATAGCATAAGAGGCCCCCAAACCTTATTTTAATTATTAGCCCTGCCTATATTGCCTGAATCACTAAACCGTGAACCCTGAATCCTAAAGTTGCAACTCTACACCCCAAACCCTAGTAGCTTGTTGAGGAACCCGTATAAAGAAACCCTAAACCCTGAACCCTAAAGCCTTTGAGAGCATCCCGAAAGCCTAAAAGGAACCCCTTACAACGGAGCCCGACATCCGGATGTTGCAACTTTAAGCCCCAAAGCCTGAAACCTTTCTACAGGAGCCCTTACATAGGAACCCTAAACCCTAAGACCCTAAGACCTAAACCCTTAACCCTAAACCCTAAACCCTAAACCCTAATTCCTAAACCCCTATGAACCTGAACAAGGAAGCCTAACATGAGCCCTAAAACCTCGTAAAGGATCGCTCCTACCTCTAAATCCCAAACCCTCACTTAAGTTAGCCAAACACTAAACACCAAACCCTAAACCCTAAACCCTAAACCCTAAACCCTAAACCCTAAACCCTAAACCCTAAACCCTAAACCAAAGCCCACTTCATAACAGTCGCAAGGGCAACGACCTAAAACCCCTCTCAAAACTCCTATAAACTATCGATGTCGGAAGCCTCTCCGGGTCCCTTTAAGGGTCGGTTCAAGGGGTTTCGGAACCCCCTTAAGGGTTCCTTTCAGGGCCCCTTTAAAAGGGGTTCCTTTAAGGGGCTCCTCTAGAGGAACCAGCGCTTGCCAGAGTCTGAGGTCATGGCCGATCCCTCTTCAGACATGCGCCTGACCTGACATTCCCAGAGAGCCCAATACCCCTTCATTAAGGAATAGGGTTTAGGGTTTAGGGTTTAGGGTTTAGGGTTTAGGGTTTAGGGTTTAGGAATATACCTTAAACCATAATATTAAGGCCCCTATAATTTAAGGCATATTCCTTAATTAAGGAATATGCCTTAAATTATAATATGAAGGCCCCTATCATTTAAGGTATATTCCTTAATTAAGGGGTATTGGGTTCTCTGGGTTGGGCTTAGACTCTAGGATTCTAAGGTTGGGTCGTCGGAATATGGGTAGTTCTCTATATTCGGGTCCCTGCTTCGGTCCCCAAATTTAATACGGCAGCCTTATAAAAAGCACCCCGAAGGGGACCCTAATTTAGAGAACTACCCATATGTGCCGGGTGTTAGGGTTCAGGGTTCAGGCCGGAGTTCAGGACTGACTTCCTAAACCCTACACCCTAAACCCTAAACCTTGAACCCTAAACCCTAAACCCTAAACCTTCGGTGTGGGGCTCGACATGGCTCGTCGCATGTTTGGTGCAGTGCTGATGCTTATATACCCAGAGAACCCAATACCCCTTAATTAAGGAGTATACCTGAATTATGAGGGCGTTACTATTATATTTAAATATATATTCCTTAATTAAGGGGTATTGGGCTCTCTGGGTAACCAACAGGACGGAACGCGTGAAATGGAATTCTACTGCGTTCCACGCAGTGTAATCTATGCAACCAAAACAAGCATGACCACAACGCCGTCGATGCTTATCATGTAATGTGATAGTGATGGTGATGCTGTACCAAACATGAAAGCCATCGTCGTCGTCGTCGTCATCATCATCAAACCTTGTTAACATTATCCAACGTCATCATCATGACCACCAGCACCATCATCTTCATCACCATCATCATCATCACCATGGACCATAAACATTGCCATCTTCACGACCATCATTGTTCCTGTTCTCGTCGTCATCACCGGATATTTTGTACTCAGCACATACGACAGTAGCCATGGCACGAATAGCTACATCAACAAGGACGCAGAAGAAGTGAAACTGGTGAAATACTGACTCCTAAACCCTGAACCCTAAAACTAAACAACTTTACGGAAAGTCAGAAACCCATGAGTTCGCAATCCCGAGATCTGGCATTCGTAGTTTGTAAACTCAAAGCTTCACCGAAAATCCTCAGCCTGAACCTAAACCCAAGGCCGTGCCCCCTGAAAATTGAACCTTACATAGCAGAATTTTACATCTTCGGCGATCCCGGAACCGAAATCCCAAAACCCTTCAGAGCAAAGAACTATTTGTCTGGATCCTGAACCTGATCCTCAAACAGCCTCTCTTGAGGGTAATGGCCTGCAGGAAGAAGATCACCAGCAAACTCCAGTGGTAGGGCGAGAGATAACCTGCGGCTGTAACGAGTTTAGGTCAGATTGTTGAGAGCGTAAGGCTTAAAGTTCCCTAAACCCTGAACTCTAAACCCTAAACCACAAAGGGTTTCGGGATGATGATTGCTCCAATTCCAATCGACTCTGTGCCGTTCGCCTGCTTGCGTCAGGAAGACCTAGGACCTAATACAGGGGCTTTAATCACTAGACTAGGGTTCCTTTAAAGGGATCCTTAAAGGGTTCTATAAGGGATCTACAATAGGGTTCTGTAGTAAGGGCCTTAAAAATTAGAATAAGGGTTTGGGATGTATTATACTAATAAAATAAGGACCCCCAAAAGTAGTATTGGTATTTATTTTTTGGGGGTTTTGAGGGTTTTGAGGGTTTTGAGGGTTTTGAGGGTTAAGGGTTTAGGGTTTAGGGTTTAGGGTTTAGGTTTTGACGGTTTACGGGCTTTGGAGGCTCTAGGTAGAACAGGAAACGCGCTCTTTGCCCATGGCCTTTTGCTGCATGGCAGATGCCACGATCCTTCGCCCAGCGCCTCACCTGGCTAAGTAAAGTAGCTGCACGATGAGCGTCATTCTGAGTAGGGCCTTACTTTCTCGGCTGTGTATCTTACTGAAGTATGGCGCTTACTACTCTCCTCTTACAGACGTATGAGGTTATCTACAGATTCTGCCACTATCTGTTGGGTCGCGTCCATGTTTTATCGGATAGGCTTAAGCTGAAAGGGCACTGAAGAAGCGAAGGCGAAGATGCTGTGCGCTCCACAATACGGCTTTCTTCGCCCCTCCCCCGTGCACCAACCTGCCAAACGTAACGGCTGTCCCGCAAAAGATTCAGGATGCCCACGTCTGAGATGGGGGGCCCTAAACCCAAAACGATTCGCCGTGTGCATCATCTTATCTCTGTCTGAGCCTGTCCTTCCCCGAAGAGGGTTCTTCCGGAGGAATGAATCCGTAGACCCCTAACCTCAAGCCGTAACGAAGAGCCGCGCGACAAGGAGTATCAGCTGCTTCGCTCGTGGATCCAGCTGCCCACATTCCGCCAGAAGCCTGACTTTCAATTCTGTGTGGAACAGCACAGCAGACAACGTGTCTTCACACTGGCGGTGATTCTTGGAATGCCTTCTGCATGATCATAAATTCCGACAAGTCTGTGAGGTCTGAGGCGTTAGTCTTCGAGGCTTTTTGCTCTCAGACGCAATATGTTTGGGTGAACAGAACTTGGGTTTTCGGTGCGGTGAGCATATAAACTCTCTCACCTACGCCTCCCTGCGGACGAAGAGCGCAGCATTGTAGAGAGGCGTCTCTGCATTTACCTCAAATCCGCGACTCGCCGAGCTTGGGTTTAAGGGCTTACCTGTAGCCTAAAAACTACATGCCTTGATGAAGTACATCGAACAGGAAGCCAAGTCCCCATTCCTTACCCGCCACAGCGTTTGTGGCTGACAGTAGAGTCTTAGGGTTCAGGGCCTTGGGGCTTTGGGGTTGTTGTGATGTTTACACCCCGACAAATTCCAACCGCCAACCCATGAACCTTGGAGTGGATTTTGGCGTCTGCAGGGTGATGGCTCGGGGTTCGAAGCATCCCTCGACCCTACACCCTTAAACCCTTGAAACCTAAACCTAACCCTGACCCTAAACTTTTCAACCCCAAGCTCTAAGACCTTCACCCCAAGACCACTGCTGTGGCCTAGGGAGGTGGGCTTAGAGGGCAGCTTGGCCTCGGGTAAAGAACCTTCAACCCCAAGGAAATTTCTCGCGTTTCGGATCTACAGCTCAAGTCTGGAGGCATTAGGTTTAGGATTTAGGGTTTAGGGTTTAGAGTTTAGGGGTTTAGGGTTTAGGGTTTAGGGTTTAGGGTTTAGGGTTTAGGGTTTAGGGTTTAGGGTTTCGGGCTTAGGGCCTGCATAGGCCTCGCGTCTTCTGTGCATCATGTCGCAAGGCCTAAACCCTCAGGCTGCACTTGCTTTCAGGATAATAATTAGAATAGGGGTTTTGGGCTCTTTGTTTACTAGAATTAGAAGAAGGAAACCCCAAAAAAAATAGTATAGGTAATTACTTAGGCCCCTAGAGGTAGTTTCGAGCGGGGTGGTTTGCTTAAATTCGGCCTGATCTCGATAAGGTTTCCGAAGCTTTCCAATTACATTTCGAACCTGCAAGAACCCTAAACCCTAAACCCTAAAAACCCAGTAAACCCAAAAAATCTAGACCCGAAAGCTTGAAGCCCTAAACCTACACCCTGGAACCTTCAAGTGACTTGGCCCTAAACCCTAAACCCTAATCCCTAAACCCTTAAACCCTAGACCCTAAAACCCAAAGCCCTAAACCCTAAAACCCTAAACCCTAAAACCCTAAACCTTAAAACCCTAGAACCCTAAACCCTAAAACCTAAAACCCTAAACCTTAAGCCCTGAACCCTAAACCTAAACCCTAAACCCAAAGCCCTAAAACCCTAAACCCTAAAACCCTGAAACCCTAAACCCTAAAACCCTGAAACCCTAAACCCTAAAACCGTAAAACCCAAACCCTAAACCCTAAACCTTTCCCGGGCACTGAGATGTCAAGGGGAATCGCATCTGCAAAAGGCCCGAAGCTGGCAGGTGCCAGGAGCGTCAATTTCGGCTCCTCCCCTGCGCTAGGGCTTAGGGTTTAGGGTTTAGGGTTTAGGCTTTAGGGCTTAGGGTTTAAGGTTTAGGGGTTCTGGGGTTTAGGTTTTAGGGTTTGGGGTTTAGGGTTTACAGTTTAAGGTTAGGGTTTGGGGTCTAGGGTTCAGGGTTTGGGGTTTGGGGCTTAGGGTTTAGGGGTTTGGGGTTGGGGGTTTGGGGCTTAGGTTTAGGGTTGGGGCTTAGGTTTAAGGGTTTGGGGTTTGGGGTTTAGGGTTCAAGGTTTAGCAGAGTTTAGGGTTCAGGGTTTGGCAGGGTTTAGGGGTTAGGGCTTCGGGTTTAGGGTTTACTTGGCTGACTTCTACACCCCTCCTAAAAGTTAAACTTTTAGCCTCCTTATTATGGTTCATATAGAAACCCAAAAAGTTAAAGTCCTAAGAGCCAATCAGAAGAACGCCAAGCCTGGATTGGGGCTTCAAGGGTTTTGTCAGCCTTTCATCGGGTTTCACGGCGTTGGCTTGGAGGGTTTTGGGGGCGTGAGGGTTGGAACTCAGGGCTGCGAGGTTCAGGATCTGAAGTCCGGTCCCGATAGAAACCCAGACCCCCGGGAGAATCTAAAAAAAAAGATCCCATAACTTGGTTCCCAAACTACTACAGGGCAGGGTGCTTTTTTTTGGAACCCCCTTAGGGGATCTGTTTTTGGGCTCCTCCCGTGGTCTGGGAACCTGTTCAACTCCCCAAGCCCCAAGCCCGGACGCCCCAAAGCCGCAGACCTCATACAGGGGGCTTCAATAATTAGAAGGACGTTTTGGTGCATGTTATACTATAGTTAGAATAAGGAAC